AACAAATATATTAAAAATATCACTATTTTTTGTGTTAATCTTACTAGAATGAAAAAAAGTTATTGATATTTAATTGGAATATAAAATAAATATAAATATAAAATAAAATATAAGAAATAAAAAAATATACTTGAAAGTTTACTAATACGTTCAATTTTTATAATCTGAAGTATCATTAAATAAAGCTATTTGATTTTTTCATTCTATATCTAAAATCTCAAACGATTCGTATATTTTTAATATCTAACATTTAAATAAAATAAAATTATAAATTTATCATTTTACATTGTATTAATAATTAGTGTAATATTTTATATTTTTATATTATGTTAATATTTTAATTATTTTTTCTTTTATCAAAGGTGAAATTATTTTGAAGAAATAAATTGTAAAAGTTTCTATAATTAATTAATATTTTTTGTGTAATTTAATTAATATTTATGTATAAATTAATTTTTCTCCAAGAATGAACAAAAAGTTTTTGAGAGCATTTTTGTGATAAGCTAGATAATAGTAAAATGAGAATTGAAATAAAAATTTGGGAATTAATGCTATTTCTAAATTTAATATACATGATATAATATACATGATAGAGTAATTAATTTTATTTTGCAAATAAAACACACATAACAAAGAAATAGTAGGAGATAAGTAAGAATTGATCATTAGCGCCATCTCATGAGTGAAAGATACATTTCTTCGTAAATAAAGTAACATAGGATAAAAATTGTTAGTGCTATTTTGAATGTCTAAGAAATCTTTCTAAAAGCACTAGCTTTCAATTCTTATCTTAATTCGTTTTATTTAAAGAATATTTTTATCAATCAAGAGATGGCGTTTACTATCAAATTATTTCTTATAATTTTTGTCTATGTTCCATTTGCGTTATTCTGGAGATGGCGCAGAGCATACTATAATTTTTCATTTATTTTTATTCTTTTTCTACTTGCTTTTCTTATTTATATTTATTTGCTTTTCTTATTTATATTTAATTTATAAATTCATGTGCTCAAGAAATGTTGGCAAGATTTAATTAATTTTATTATTTTATATCATAAGTACATATATTCTATATATTTACATATGTAGTAGGAGAATATATTTTTTTAAATATATATGTGTTATATAATAAATTAATTTTTTTATGTCAATTTATATACATCGGGAATCATATATTTTTATATATTTATATAATTATATATTTTATATATAAATTTAATTTTCAGGAATAAAACAAATATATCAAATTCCATAATTAATAAGTATTAGTCCATAATTAATAGTATTAAGTAAAATGATGAAAAAAATATTTTTTTTTAAATGCAGGAGATAGCGCTAGTAGTCAATTCTTATTCTATCTCCATCTTTCTTTCACATTTACTTTCTTCGTCTATATCTGTTTCATTTACAGCACTCTAGAGATGGCGCTAATTTCTAAATTTTTATGTATCTGTATTTTTATCTTTCTGTCTGCTATTCTTGTCTATCACGAATCGATTCTCAAGAATCTTGTTGTTTATTCTATTGGAGAATAATTAATTTATATATAAATATTAATTAAATTATATTGAAAAATATTAATTAAAATTTTCACAATTTATTAGATTTTTATTATTTTCGAAATAGTGCTTTCATTTTTCATTTTTGATAGAAGGAGAAAAAATTAATGCATAATCCATTTTATAATTTTATTTTATTTAATATTAAATATAAATCAGATATTAAAAATGTGCATGAATCATTTATTGAAGATATTTGTTATGAGAAATTTATTATGAAATGATAGGAAAATCATTTTATTTTATTTTATGAAGAAATAAATTTGTTAACATTCTTTTACAATTTTTATAAAGATTTTTTAAAACAAAAAATTTGCAATATATAATTTTCACTATGGTATTTTTTATTCATCAAATTTTCTTCGCATTCTAAAATGTTGAATTATTTAAAATTAATATAAAATTAATAGGAAAGTTTTTAATATCTCAGTCAAATTTTAAAAGATAAATTTTAAAGAAAATTTTAGAGTAAAATTTATTAAAGATTATTGAACTATCAATCGAATTTTTAATTGCGAGTTACACTAAGAGAATCACATGGCGAATTTGGACGTTCAAAGTTTCAAAGTACTATTTGATTACGAACACTTATACTTAGATCGATAAAACACGATGCGTGCAAAAAATATCAAGGGCACAGGTGTATTGTTACCATTCCTCTTTGTTTTCCGTCTACAAAAAAAGAAATAGAAGAAAATGAAATTGAAATCTTTCGATCGTGTTCACGCATTAAATCGAAACAAGAATTCTCACACGTCAACAACAATATTCCGGGTCCCTATTTTTCAAAGATTCAAGAATAATTTTTCAATCGATTCACGTAATCAAAAAGAAATTCCTTTTCTCTTATTATTTCCTTTATTCTTCTTTCTCTCTGAAATTAGATAATTTTTCCCTCCCCTATCTATTCCTAATAAAATTAGGAACTTTTCCATCCAAGTTAAACTAAATTGTTTATTGTTAAAAATGTTTCAATAATTTCATCGTATGGATGATGAAAGAAACACTCTTGTCCTCCCTCTCTCCTCCATATCTTTTCGAAAATTCTTACACGTAATCGAGGAAGATCGTCATAGAATGAAAAAAACCTAGGACGAAATTTTCTCTCTGCGAACCACGTGCGAAACACGGGATAATATTCGCGGATGCGGCAAAGCGTTTTAGAAACCGAGCGTCTTATTTTTCGATTTCCTGTCAAAAGCGGAGCATGCTGACGCGGAGGAAGATCGACACTGGCGAACACTGACCTCCCTCTACTACTTGCCTTGTGTCCTTGGCCTTGAAACGAGAACGTGTTTCGGGAGATGAAATCCAACCGCACAGGTGGAACGATAATTGCTCGGCCGTCATAGCGAACGTAAGCCTCGGCTTTACTTTCGCTCCGTTACGGAATCGGAGAACTTACGGACGAGGAGGAGAGCGTTAGGTAACCATTTTTTTATCCCCATCTTTGCTCGAGGGAACGGGCGAAAAATCGATGGAAATCGATTTGATCGATCGATAAAGTGAAAACGTGCGAGCGTAGCTTCGTAGAATTGTAGAAGAAAGAAAGAAAGGCGGTTTTACAATTTTTCCTTGGAGAATTTGCTGCTCGGTGAAATACACATCGGGGGAAGAGATGATTTCGGGGGAATTTTTGAAAATTTTTCTAAAACGAAAGCGCGAAATCGAGCGACACGATGCATCACGGTTTCAACTCGCGCAAAGAAAATTATCCAATTTATGGCTCTGAACGGGAAGACTACTTGTTTACCGACGCAATTAATTTCAATTGAGTCGCGCTATTTTTCTCCGTTTCTATATGAAATCCGATACATTTCATACAATTTTTTTTTCATCATCAATTAATCTTCAGGGTTTAATGAAACTAAATTTCCTCCACGAATCGGATAGGAAGTTTTCGTGTCGTGTCTTGTCGTGGATAATTAATCCTATCGCGCAGATGCAACTTGACCGAGAAAAGAAATATGCACAAAATGCGTTCAACGCGAAGAATAGATCATTTTAATCCGCTTTTTAATCGTACCGAATAACCACGTCTCCGATCCACGAAAAGCCACTAAGACAATAATCGGTTTGACCTATGGCATCCATTCCCAAGGCTGTTCGATTAAACGCAATAATTATTGTTGACGTCCCATCATCCGTTTCCGCTTCGATGACTTTGAAAAATCTTTTCCCCCGTATACCTTTGTCTTTTTCAACTTAGACTCACAAAACTTATATACGTGCGACACATTTATACATTACGTATGTACGATGGAAAATTCTGATATTAAAATCAGTGATTGACTTTGTTTCATCGAAGTTTATTTATTCAAAAAAACGTCTATTCAAATTCTACTTGATCTATTCTATTCACCTATTGGAAAAAAAAGAAAAATGTAAAAGTCATCATAAGCTAAGAAAGAAAAAAAAGAAGAATTTCGAAAAAAACTCCTTGTTAATAATACTCAAACAATTTCCAACATTTTTCGCGAATTAACGAGGATGATTAACGTGATCCTATTAAAATAATAAAAAAAAACACCAATATAATTACATTTAAAACATAAATCAAATAATTGAAAGAATTTTTATACCCAACATAACTCGACGACATAAATTACAAACATTCGTCTCTGAATTTCCATTTCTCATCGAATGAACGAGTAAGAAAAGAAAAATTAAACAACGAATTATAAAAATGAAGCGAAAACTCGGGGGAGAGGAAAGCGACGAAACGGAGAGATATCTTCTTCCTCCGAGATCGTCATCGTCGAAAATACATAAAGAAGAAAATAAAAGGTCGAGAGTGGAAGAATTGAGTCGACGAGAGGAATCGACGAGAAAGGAGAGAAAGAAGAGAAGGGAGCGGCGGCGAGTGGCGGGCACCCACAGCTGCTCCGACTCCTGTTACCGCGTCATCGAGTGACGCCCGCCCGATTGCACGCGATACGCTCTGCCCTCCCGATGAAATCACCTTGCGCAATCGGTTCTTTTTTATCCGTGGGAATTCGCAGGTCCCTTATATATATATATACACGCGGTTTCTGGACGTTCGCGTGCCGACACGACGAGGCGATACACGAGCGGGCCACGGATGTGAATGGTGGGTCCATTCGTGCCGATCTGGAACGAAGGAAGACCGCGTCTCGGCCGGTGTACACACAGTCACCAGATAAAACCGGACTTGCACTCGGTGAATAACGAGTCTCCGCGTGGCTGTCCTCTCGGCTGCAACAACGGCCACACTGTTGTACCACACCGTTTCACCATTTCACGCCTTTCCTTCGGCTTTCCTTCCTTCGCTCGACGAGAGGAGAGAGAGAGAGGGAGAGAGAGAAGGAGAGAGAGAGAGGGAGAGAGAGAAGGAGAGAGAGAGAGAGAGAGAGAGAGAGAAAGGAGAAGAATCGGATAGACGAAAGCGAAGATCACACGGAGGTTGAGGCAATATCCCGGTGGAGAGGAGGGAAGAAGGAAGGAAAAGATTGGGTCGCGGAGTTTGTAGTTCATAGAAGTAGGAGGGCGTTGGAAAAATCACAAGGAGACATGGCCGAGGTGAAAGAGATAGATTGATGACTTGAATCGAGAAGAAAAGGAAGTTGCGAAGTTCGATAGAGAGGAAAGTGAGTTGGGGAGAAGGGAGAGACGATTTTGTAATTGTAATTATTTTAGTCGATCTGGAATGATCGTTTGGAGGAACAAAGAGGATAAAAAAGGAATTTCGTGTGATTATTTTTATATACAAGTCGATCGAAGTTGGAATGGAGGATCATTATTGATCGCGCTAAAACTTGCTTAATTCTCGTTCGTTCGTCTAAGTTTTGAGAGATGAATCTGTGCGAAGTGGAATTGGGAAATAAAAATTTCTTCAATTGGAGCCAGGAGAACAGCGTGCTGTGGAAAAAGGTCTTGTTGGTTTATCTAAGTGACTTCTGGTTGATGACATTCTTCTTGGGAATGTGGGAAATATACACGTTGGGGGATTATATGTTCGAAGAATTTGACGATGATTACGAACCATTAGATGCTTTGTAACTCGTGAGAAAAGTTACTCCTTCCAAGAATTTTCTCGAGGTAAATAAACTTCAATCTTTTAATTTTTTATCGAAAGAAAAATTTTTATTCTTGTCGTTCTCGAATTGTTTGCTGAAAAAAGAAAAAAAATCGCGAAAATATATACTCCGTTTAATAAGCTTAAACGCTCATAAATCACGATTATTAATTAATTAATTATATATCATATCTTCACGCGAATTTATATCTGATCGTTCGCGTTTAATCTCTTGACATCTCTAGATCATAAGATGCGATAAGCATGGATTATTATACTAATTAAATATTTTATAGAGCATGGATTTCAAGAACGTGTTCGAAGATCTTGAATCGCTTGGAACTGTATAGAAAATTGGCTACACATGGTAAGAATACATATGTATATGTCGCGTGTGTGAACTGTTTAAAAGAACGTTATGATTGAGAAATGGTATAGTTGGTTGTGAATAATCGAGTAGAACTGTTTGTGAGATCATCGTACGAGGATCGTATGTACACACAGCCATAAAAATTATCGTCGAGTCGTTGTTGTTGCCATTTTTCTTTCGAGTAATCATTTGATCTTAATCTGAACGAGTTCATTTACTTTCATTCGTTGATCTTGCATCATGTTAATTGTACGATCATCGAGTGTTAACAAGTTTTCGAAACGGAAAAAGTAATGTTCAAAGTAATTTTAAACGAAAATTTCTGTTTGCAGAAGAATGGTGAATCGAAGGACTGAATAGGAAGAAAATAAATCGATCGTGAAAAAAAAAAGAAGAGAAAATATCAAAAGAAGATGAAAATGAGCGTCGCAAATGGAATAAATAGACACGTGGAGGAATATTTGGATAAGGTGATTTATTATCTGAAAAATATCTTTGTACAATTTTGCTTTTCCATCTTAATCAGATTTAGATAAATTTTCACATATCGATGTTAATAATTTGGCATCGTTCGATTCGAAGGTGCCAATTTTTTAAACAATCGAAAGTATATTTAAAATTTTTGAGAGGAATTATATCGAGTAACGAGTACTTATAAATTTATATTGAAAAGATATTGATTTACTGATCGTTCGAGTATAATTAATTAATTAAATTAATTAATAAATTTAATCTTCTATTTATGACTATTTTGATATGAAATGCTTATCAAGAAACGAGACTTATTCCATTACGTAATCCATGTACATGTTATCACTTTCAAACGTTAAAAAGAAAGAAAAAAAAAAACGAAAAAAAACAAATAAGAAACTAAGACTTGTGGCTTAGAATGTATTACTTACATAAATCTTTGATATCGAATAGAAATAACACGCAAAAGAATGCAATATATTCTGAATAATAAATTTCCTTTTAGGTCGAGGTGAATGCGGAGGAGGAAAAGAGAAGAGAGAAGAAAGGCGTCACGTATCAGGTAGAAGTTTTTTTCTTTTCTTCTTTTTCTTTGGATAAAGTTTCTAAACAAACAATTTAAAGAAGCGAATCAATGTTATTTTTTCATCGACTATATGAATTCTAAATAAGCGATGATGTCTGAATTAGAATTGTAAATATTATTTTGCACAAAGAAATATTACGTAATAAATGGCTTCGTGTTAACACGGTAATGACTTTGAACAATTATAATGTAAACTAAAATATGGAAGAAAAATAAAAAAGATGAAGAAAAATTTGCTATTGTCGAATACAATTAAAACGAAACATAAATTTCTAAATTATATAATTAAATTTCTAATCTTAATATTTAAAGATGTTTAATATCGAAAAACGAAATTATTTATCTCTAAACTGGATCGAAACTTTATTTTTGCTAAACATAAAAGCGACCATAAAAATAAAATAATTACGACGATTACGATAACAAGAGAATTATTCTAAATAATTTTTTTTTTTTTT